CGGAAGCACGCCACAGTGTTAAAGGCTGTTTGCCACCTGGATAGCAAACAACGCAGCGCTTTGTTACGAGTGGCCGACTCACGGCTCGTCAACTGTATATGCGAATGCGCTCTCAATATTCTGCGCGGCAACGTACCTCTCAAGCCGACTCAGAAACGTCGCTTACGAAAACACGCACCGCTGGTGAGGCGTTTATCCAGACCGGGTTCAGCAGTCAAAACTAGAAAACGCCTTATCGTTTAGAGCGGCGGTTTTCTACCTCTTCTGCTGGCACCCATACTGGGCACCGTCATATCAAAACTCATAGGGGGAGGTGGATAGGATATACGCCACGCAGAGGGAGAAAGAGAGAGCGAGATGGAACATGCGAAAAAGATGGTTCTCATCCCTCATGAGAGCGTGAATACCGTGCACCAACAGTACCACCGTGCAGTGCCTCATGCGCACCATCATAGTCAGGAGGGCACACCGTTAACACCGTGCAAACCCCTGGGACCCCCTTAAGCAGATTAGACGCATCGATGAAGGAGATCCTACACTCGCCGAATTTCATTGACGAGCGCGAAAAGTGGAAGATGTACAATCAAGTGCTGCAACGCTATCTACACTTTATCGAGGACCTGCGAAATAACGTCGACGAGGATAGGCGCGCCGATGGCGATAACAAGAAAAAAAATAACAATTCTGCGGAGGATAACGCCAGGAGCTCGACCGCCGATGCTGACGATGACATCATCGCCAGTGTACCCCAAAAGTACAGGACTAAGGCGTGGCTCTAGGACTAGGCAGGTTGCATGACGCTGGCGTGCCACACATTTCGTGGAGTAAACAGGGTGTTACGCGTATCGGTGGAGCCGTCGTGCAGGACGCCAACATCGTTGATTTAATCAATGACGCTATGCGTGAGAGAAAAACGGCGAGACCGGCGGGGAGTCAGCAGTTTGCGCGGCTCCTCCGTACTGCTAGTATACCGCGCGAATTTATTGGCAATCAGCGGCTATGGAAGGAGGGGAGCAACACGACGCCTCTCAGTAATCAGGCACCGCGCCGTGTAACAATCGTACCGCGCCCTATCGACATGACCAGAGCTCGTCTACAGAGGAGGAATTTGGCGAGGCGTTTCAGGAAGTGTTTAGAGACTTCGGGGAAGAAGAGGTCGTGGGGAAAAAATATACATGATCCGTGTCGGCTAGTACAGCCAACGATACCGAGAAAAAGAAAAGATTAGAATGGTTACGGCTGCCGTGAACCAGAAGAAGAAGAAGAAATCGAGTGATGACAGCCTTCTGGGGCGTCTTTATTACACACCAGCAGGGCCGTCTTCGTACGCCGGTATTGGTAACCTCGAGCGAGCGATTAAGGGTAGGGTAAAGCGAAATTCCGTCGTACACTGGTTAGAGGCCCAAGACGCGTATACACTGCATAAGCCCGTACGTCGCACGTTTCAGCGTCGCTCTTACGCCGTCAGCAATATCGACGATGTTTGGGAGGCCAATCTTATGGATCTTCACTCCTTGAAGGAGTACAACGATGGTCACACGTATATCCTTGTAATAATTGATGTACTCAGCAAATACGCTTGGGCCGAGCCTTTACGCGATAAGTCCGGTGCAACGGTAGCAGCGGTATTCCTTGAAGGAGTACAACGATGGTCACACGTATATCCTTGTAATAATTGATGTACTCAGCAAATACGCTTGGGCCGAGCCTTTACGCGATAAGTCCGGTGCAACGGTAGCAGCGGCATTCCGGAGGGTTTTGGCACATAGTAAGAATAGGATACCCGTTTACCTACAGACAGACAAAGGTAAAGAGTTTACCAAGGGCGTACTGCAACATTTGCTCGAGGAGTTCGGCATAGGATTCCGTGTCGTGCGCAGCCCCGACGTAAAGCCAGCTGTCGTCAAACGCTACAATCGTACTCTGAAGGAGTGTATGTGGCGTGACTTTACACATAGAAACACGCGGCGGTACATAGATATTCTTCAGAGCCTCGTGGAATCGTACAACAGGACACGCCACTCTGCGATAAGAATGCGTCCAGTCGTCGTAACCATGTATAATGCCGCTACGGCACGTATGAACCTGTCCGTGTGATACGCGACGGCGAGCCCGCGTATCCCTAAATACGGTGTCGGCGACCTGGTACGCATCAATAGCGCTAGGAACCCTTTTGCAAAAGGTTACGAGGCGGCTGGACTCGAGAGATTTTTAAAATCGTACGCCTAGGTACAACGAGGGAACCACCCGTCTACATCTTAGAAGATCTTGCCGGCGAGGAGATTGACGGTATTTTTTACGAGGAGGAGCTCGTTCGAGTCCGTAAGGACCTCGCAAAGGACCAGTTTCTCGTCGATCGTGTGATAAAACGAAGCTCTGCGATAAGAATGCGTCCAGTCGACGTAACCATGTATAATGCCGCTAAGGCTCGTATGAACCTATCTACGAGGTACGCATCAGCGAGGACGCGTATTCCTAAATACGGTGTCGGTGACCTGGTACACATCAGTAACGTTAGGAACCCTTTTGCGAAAGGTTACGAGGGGGGCTACACTGGAGAGATTTTTAAAATCGTATGCCTAGGTACAACGAGGGAACCACAAGTCTACATCTTAGAAGATCTCGCCGGCGAGGAGATTGACGGTATTTTTTGCGAGGAGGAGCTGGTTCGAGTTTGCAAGGACCTCGCAAAGAACTAGTTTCTCGTATGGTCGAAATACAGATCCCTATGACCTTTCTTCACGTGCCCGCAGCGCTAAATGACTGGGATCACGTGAGCGTGGTCACCACCCGCATCAAACCGCGGAAGAACCACAAAGAACCGATAGTGGGTCTTTTGATG